CCCGAAAACCGCGGTCGACCCCCCCTTGGAAGACGCCGAACGTACATACGGAAGTCCATACGTATGGCCCGTACAGGCCCCCGGGGTCCCGTACGTACGGTCGTACGGGAGTACGTACGGCCCGTATACGTACGGGAGTATACACAGCCGCCCGGACGGTCATGGTCGGGGCGGGGATAAAATCGTTCGACCGCCTGCAACCATGATCGTCTTTCAGCCGTTACATCGCGTATGGTATATGTAATATCTTCGTCTCCCTGACTGATATATTTTTTTGTATCAGCCAGGTCCAGTTCCAATGCTTTAGCAATGATAGCCGATAACGGGTGTGTTTTTGGCGGGACTTTTTTTTGCAATTTCCCTTTCAATGTCGGACTTTGTAGATGATCGATGAACAAATCCCGAGCGGATTTCTCGTCTCGCCCGGATTTGTCCAACGTGGTTTGAAACCGATCTACGAAATCGGGCAACAATGCCCTTGGTCCTTGGGGCCGATTTTTTAGCACGTACCAGGCGGCATCTTCACTAACCGTATCGAATCGAGCCAAGAAGGCTTGTTTGAAAGTATTCCAATCTACCCACGTATGTTTTCTAAACCAGTCATGCGACGTATTGTGAAGTAGCAATGTCAGAACGCGGGGAAGATCGGCGGCGCTGTAGTTTTGAGCTTCGACAACTTCCAGCCAAGCCTCGGGATGGGTATGGTTAGGGAAGAAGGGGAAGGGGGCAGGTATGCTAACGATCACCCTAGTACCGTCCACCATTGGTATTGCGGGTGCAGCCGCACCAGATTGAGACCTGGTTACTGGGCGATCTCGACGAGCCACTTGAGGACTTCTCCTACCTCTCGCCAGTTCGACTCACTATCATCAGAACCGCCACGTGTCGGCTCCGATACCAACCTCACGCCCTGTGCTGTCTTTCGTTCGGAGTGTTAGGCGTGCGGAAAGAGGCCCAGAAAAACAGCAAGATGGGGTGTGCCAAGGATTTTTGGAAATTGAGTGTGGGGACACAGATGAAACTGAAATCCCCAGTGTTGGTCCGATGAAGCAAGTCGATTGCTTTCGCGCATCGCGGAATGTGCGTGCGGGCACGACGCGAAAAGAGAAAAATCCAAATTCAATCCAAAAAGTATTGTCGAGCTTCCCACCGGGCTACAGCCCGTCGTTTAGAACAGAAAGGCTTTGGCACGCTTCGCGTGTCTCGTTTTCGTATCAACTCTCGTCGTCGTTCGCTGGTCAGTTCCGAGTTTGATGTGGATGGTCTCAGCCGCGTGGCTCTTTCTTTATGCTCGTCTTCACTCCGCACACGGTAGTGGAAACCCCTGGATTCGTAGCGCTCAAAATGCTGACATTCGGTGCATAGAGTGCGCGGCCAGTGGGGTTCTACTGCCGTCCACGGGATGACGATCAACTCGTTGAATGGCAACAATATCGAGTAAGGTGGGAAGTGCATATCGATAATGACAAACCCAGCCTCTACGAACCCTGAACAACGATTTGTCGGAGGGAAGTAGTATCGTCCGCTGATTTGTGCAACGGCTTCTCGTACGTCCCACTCGCATACACGTGTCCTTTCCTCGTTGTAGGGAAAAGGTCGTGTTGGGACGGGAGGTACGGGAGGCTGGTGCCCGATCGGAGGGTACTTGTCAGTCCACATATCAATCAATTGCAAAGACCTTGAGATGTCATCAAGAAAAGAAAACACTCGCGCAACTCACAATCAATCCTTTTCGACACGAGAGAGAGAGAGAGAGAGAGAGAGAGAGAAAAAAGACACTTCATCAGCTTGATCATGCATATAACTAAGGGACCGATCCGCGGCTCAGGTTAAGCGAGCCGACGCGACGTTGACCCCAAGCGCCTTGTTTCTCGAGGCCGCCCCATGGCTCGACTGCTGATGTCGTGCAACATAAGGCAGATGGCATGCACAGTACATTCAGAGCTACAAATCTAAACACTCTTGCATTCTCGAACAAAATCCCGACGACAATCGTCTAATCAACGCAAAAGAGACGCGCATTCTCCATGCATTCATTCACTGTGGAAGGTGCGAAAATGAGATATGCTCAGGGGCAAAAAGATGGATCACTGAACAATACACACGGATCCACCGTTCACAAGACAAGAAGACGGGGTCCGTTGTAGGGCCAAACCCCGGTAGACTTTCGAGCCTTAGTCGACCCCACTTTGGGTCCCAGTTGGCTCGGCCCGCCCACGCTCATGCTCAGGGCGCGGGTTGTTCGTCCCGAGGTCACCCCCACCTAGTGCTTTGAGATGGATGGGGGTGGGCCGTCGCGCGATAAAACTTTGACATTGGGGATGTAGCTCAGCCCTCACGCCGGGTGGTAGTCTCGCTGGTCGTTCCGCAACGCTGATTTTTTTGATTCTTTGTTCTGTTCTCATGCAACTACTCCTTCCAATACGCAGGCAGTCCAAGGATTCTTTGAGTACTTCTCTTCTTTTGTGCGTAGGCTAAGCGTCATCTTTAGGCCACGCACCATTTCTCTAAGCATTGTGGCTATATGGCATCATCGGGGTGCGGCGGAGCCGTCCTCCCCCTCGCCTTTACGCATCCATCGGGTCTCACAATTTGCTTTCTTCTTTGTTGAAGTAGACCCCTTAGTCTTTTCGGGGTCCTCATATACATGCACACACAACGTCACGTTTTCCTTGGTACGATTGCATTCTCATTTACACTCCAAGTCCTCAAGCGCAAAAGTCATTTCCATGGGTTGGCTTTATGTCAAGGGTCCCATAGGCCCTCAACCCGTCTTCCCTTTCCCACACAAGCAAGATGATCCATACAATCCCCCGTTGGGGGTCAACACATAGTCCTTCCCACATGTCTATCTTTCCAAATCCTTTGGCCATTCTTTGTTCCCTCTTGTTGCTCAATCAGCCCATTCTCTTCTCATAGTCATGCAGTCAGGGAAACGGTTGAGTCAAACTGACCTCTCTCTCAACTTATGCTTCCTTCCGGATCCCGCCTTTCTCCCACTTTTTCAAACGTCCTCTCTTTTGTCTTCTTGGTGGCACAAGGGACCGGCTATCCTCCCCTTGTCCTCTTTCTCCACCAAGTGAGGTCTGATTTCGGTCACCGTCCGTACCCTGGCAATGTTTCCAAGTGAGGGGAGAAGGGTTAGTCATATGCCAAGTGAGTGAATGGGAGAGAGAGAGGGAGAGAAGGCGAGGTGTAAAAAAAAAGGGGGGGCGAAAGAGGGTCTTAGAGGCGGAAGGGGGGAAAGGAGGGGAGGGGGAGAGAGAGAGAGAGAGAGAGAGAGAGAAAGAGAGAGAGAGAGAGAGAGAGAGAGAGAGAGAATGAGAGAGAGAGAGAGAGAGAGAGAAAGAGAGAGTGAGGGAAAACAAAGAAGAACTCTTAATCAACTCAACTCCCCGTAGTAGCAACCAAACGTTGATCACTCATCCCATAGTGAGACATCGAATAAGCATATCTTGGAAATAACATGACAATGAGAGGCTAAACCAATGGAAAACACATACTCATAGGGAAGGAGATCATCTAAACAAGATCCGGAATATGAACTTGACAATTCACAAAGAGAAGGGATCGACTAAGCAAAGATCAAGAACATGAACTTGACAATGCACAAAGAGAAGGAATCAACTAAGCAAAGATCCGGAACATGAACTTGACAAGGAGAGGTTAGACAAGGAGAGGCTAGACTAGTGGAAGTACATGCAAAAAGAAAAGAGATCAACTAAGCAAAGATCCGGAACATGAACTTGACAATGTCCAAAGAGAAGAAATCAACTAAGCAAAGATCCGGAATATAAACTTGACAATGCACAAAGGGAAGAGACCAACTAAGCAAAGATCCGGAACATGAATTTGACAATGCACAAAGAGAAGAGATCATCATGAACTTGACAATGCACAAAGGGAAGGAATCAACTAAGCAAAGATCCGGAACATAAACTTGAAAATGCACAAAGGGAAGAGATCAACTAAGCAAAGATCCGGAACATGAACTTGACAATGCACGAA